GTAGTAAGTCTTTTATGTATCTATTTATCTATTTCCTCATTTGTTTATTTACTCATCTATTTCTTCATTTCCATCCCACCCCAGATCATGTCGGGCGCCGCACTGATCATGTCGACATTCGTCAGCGTAGACAACCTCGCGTCGTGTGCGGAGGAGGCTCGAACCCCGTGCAAGTCCCTGCCCACCGCCTTTGGCTTCAGCCTCGCTCTCCTCTTCACCATCCTCTTCCTCGTCTCCTCGGCGCTCACGCTAGCGTCGCCATGGCAACAGCTGGCAGACAACGCCGCCATTGCTCGGGCCTACGAGACGAAAGGGATCTTCGCCGCGCATTACGTCATAGGGGTGGGCGCGGTCTTGGGGCTACTTCCGGTCGTCATCGGTTCGTTCTTGCACCCTGTGCGGCTGCTGTTCTCCATGTCGCAAGATCGTCTACTGCCCGGGTTCCTGTCCAAAGTGGGCTATAACGGGATCCCTGTGGCCCCTCACTTTCTCACAGGGGCGGCCATCGCTCTGAGCTCTCTGGTCCTCGAGTTCCGGACGTTGCTGGAGATGTCCTCTATCTCCACTCTCGTGCAGTTCGTGTCCTCCTCCATCATCCTTCTCTTCATCCGCTACCAGCCGGCCACCGTCGGGATCTGTCGTGAGTACTCCGACCTTGACCTTCCTAACTCCATGGTAGCCGAGGACGGCCTTGACATTAAGGACGGGTTAGAGTTCAGCGAAACGCGACCTCCGAAACTGGTTCTTCTGACGACGGGAGACTGTAAGGTTCCCAGTGAGGAGAAGCAGTACTATTCTCCTATAGGGGATTCCCCTATTTTGTCACGATCCCCCATTGTCAAAAAAGTATCTAATAATAACATGGGGAAACCCCACTCTCCAGGAATAATGAACGTGGTTTCCCACAACCCCACGCACGGTTCTGAGCCCGCCGAGAAAGCTTTGAACAACAACCGGCCAAACTCTCAGACTTCCGTGATGTCCCCCTCCCCCGCCGTCTCCTCCTCCATCACCTTCATCAACAGGTTCAAACCCCCGCACCCCACGTCAAAGGGCGAGAACATGACGTCAGGACTGGACGTGTACTCAGAAAAGGACAGTCTTTTCTCCTCGTACAACGCCCACCCCATCATGTCCAGTAGCTCCGGGGTGTACGGGGGTAGGGGCTCCACCGCTCCATCAGATCTTGTGGCCGTCCTGAACAAAGACAATAAATGCTTTACGGGACTCAGGGATCGAACCCAAGCTCTCAACGGCGTTGGAGGTGGTGGTGGTGTAGGGACAGCGCGCTCGCTCGCGTCATCAGTGAGCAGCAGTCTAGTGGCCATCTCGCCGTCTGTCACCCTTCACGCAGACGAACACTCGTGGCGTCAGACGCGCTACTTCCTGCTAGTCTACATTCTCGCCAGCACATGTCTCGCGGCGACCTGTGAGGCGTGGCCTAGTGACAATGACGGGGCGTGGTGGGCGGTGACTCTGCTGTGTGTCAGCCTCGCCCTGATGCTAGTCTCCGCCCTGTGCGTGGCGCGACAGCCCCAGAACTCCGCCCCCTTGTACTTCAAGGCCCCCTACGTGCCCCTCGTGCCTCTACTCGCCATCACGTGCGACATGCTGCTCATTGCCGCCCTGCCCTTTGTCAGCTGGGCGCGGTTTGCCATGTGGATCTTCCCAGGTAATTTGTGTGTCGGGGGGAGGGGTGGG